ACTGAGGTTGGCAGCAACAGCACTGTGGTTGACAGCAACAACAACATTGAGGTTTTGGTGTGCAGACCAGGGTCGCCTTGCAATCGCATCCCAGTGGGATGCAGCAGCATCTGAAATGTACCGTTCTGAAAGTTTTCTTGTGGTAAATCAGTTAAGCTTTTTGAAATATTTTGCAACATAACGGCTTATTAGAGATAATTATATTTATTGGTAAAAACATGATCACCTTTTGCCTCGAGAAGTTGAGTTTCCAGTTTCGTTGCATCTGATAGAATCAGCGTTACTATTAATTTGTGTAGGAACAGAGACTACAATCACCTTTTGTTTTAAATTATTTTGAAGTGGTAAGCCCTGTAAAAAATTCAATATTTATTTTCATTGCTAAACTATAAATGTTTGTCGTTTACAGATCTAAATATTAAAAAATAATTATTACATTGTTTTGCACAATATCTCTAAAAAGTACCTTAGAAAACATACTAAACTTTGCTACAGTTCAAAACGTTTTTAAAATACTTACCGACACATAGCATACGACTAAAAACAAAGATACAGTAAAGATTCTGTCTGCAAACATATTGGCTCTAAGCGAGTTAGATGACCAGTGGAATGCTTGAACTAATTAGATGACCAATGGAATGCCTGTCTCCATTTGATAGCTAACTGCTTTTATAATTATCTGAGAAACTAGTAGTGATTTCGGAAAGCTGTCAAGTGGTTTTCCTGAACACCTGTCAAAAATAAGGGTGTTTCTTTGTCAAGATTTCTGTATAGTTTGTAGACAGTATTATGACGATAAGTACAGTTATTTTTATGCTAGAATTAATTCCATTTCGAGTGGAGAGCACTCACTATCATTCCGCTCAAAGATTTCTCAGTATATCTCTGTCAAGATTCAGTTTTAATATATTACGTCCACCACAAAGAGTCTTTAACGATCAGACTAGACAAAAAAACAGATTCTTAAAACTAAAATTTTTTATAGATTTCTGTTGCGGTAATTAACTGAAAACTACAGTCAACGACACTGGCACGACAGATTGTAATAAAACGGTAAAGTAAAAATTATCATTTATCTTTTATATTTTATCATGTTCTCATTTATTTGTTTTGCTTTTATAAATTTTTTTGTTAGTATATCTTTCGAAATTGACGAGGGCTTATTTGGAGCTCTATTAGCTCAATTATAAAAATTAAGCAGTTTCAAATTATTTCAAATACAGATTCAGAGTCAGACTAGCAAAGGTTATTTTATAAATGAATTTATGATACTAAAGTTTCTTTAAAAGAATTATTTATTGTTCTTTCAATTTTATACATTGTATTTTTGTTTCGGATTCGTATCACAAACTAAGAACTTTTGTTTTTAAATTTTAAATTTTTTTATAATTTTATAAATACAATTCCACATAATTTTTTAGTGTTATTTAGCTAATAAAGAAACTGTTGACTTGATAAGTAGGTGATACATAGGTATTTTGGTACTTCAAGACGTTTATTTTTGACTACTATGACAATGATAAGTGTTTGGAGTTTTCAATGCTTATCAAAATAAGGATCAAAACTCGAAAAGGTTTTCTGAACAGTCATCAGTTTTTTGACAGGACTAGTTAGTGCGAGGTAGTGTTTTTTTCTAAGGGTGCTAACGAGAAAAAAATATTAATGGAAAATAATTGCTGCATTGAGGAATTTTGCTTGTATTTAACAAAAAAAGAAGCTATAAAATCTTTGCTTAAACAGTAGCATTTTCCGCCATAATTGTAGTTATGTGTAAAATTAAAACAGTTTTCGACAAAAATCGTGTAAGCGAAAACCAAAACTGTTTTGTGACGTACCACCCTTGTTATCTCTTAATTTAAAAGCCCTCCTCAAAAAAAAAAAAAAAACGCAACTTTTAGTTACTAAATTCAACGTTTAATATTTTTCTGGAGAAGTTTTTAATATCTAAATACTTTGAATTGATTAGTGATAGAAGACAAGAGATTTTGTTTTTTTTTTTTTTCTATACAATTTGTATC